CGTAAACCTGGGTACGCCCAACGTACCCAGGCGAGTCCGCATCCAAATTAAGCGCATGAGTACGCACAACGTACTCCCCAGTACACCCATCGTACTCATTTGCTACAAGAACTCTTTCAAGGGACCACTTTTGACAACTTGACAAAATGGAAGGATTTAATAGCTTTACCTGGATTTTGGGATGTTACATTTGCTTAAAGTAATAAGGACTAATGGTTAATACCTTCACTTTTTGCATATAAATATGAGGCTTGAATTCTTGAAAGAGTTCTCATTCCTTCTTCTCTTCTTCATGTCCGAGAGCTCTATATGAGACTCTCCCTCTCTTTTTTTTCTTTGAGTTATTAAAGATTACTTGCATATATTTTGCTCTCTTGAAGTTTATATTCGTTATGAACTTCAAGCTTGAGGGTTTAAGAGCTTTGGACTAGCATCTACATCAAGTTGAGTCATTGTTGGTGTCTCAAAGGTCCCACATTATTCATCAACATCCAAGCCTCCCAAGAGGACCCAAAGAACTACAAAGGTTGTTATCTCTTCACCGCTTCTTTGGTTGGTGTTAAAATCTTTCTATAACTTGCAAGAAGATCCTTGGTCTGTATAAAATATTTATGTTATTTCAAAAATTAAAGTCTTTTGTTTCCATATCTTTCAAGTTTATGAAACTAATTTTGATCTAAAACCTAACAATTGGTATCAGAGTCACCTTGCACATTTGGTGAGATTTTTGATTTTTTGGAAATCTTAGTTTTTGGAGAATATGGATAACTTGTTTTTGTATCAAAATAAGTTCATACATATTTTCTATGACAACTATTTTTTGTTATGTTATGTGACAAAAGTTTCATGCAACTATTATCATTTAAGTTGTCTTAGAAAAACAAAGGTTGTTTGATGTGTATATCGATATATATGATGTGCATAAACTAGCCAAGGACCAATGTGTTGTTATCTTTTCGTTGATGGGTTTTGAGCACTATAACATCCCTATAGTGCACATACTGTTGGATTTGGTGTCTAAGCCCATAATTATTTTTTGGTACGTGCTTGATTTGATTGTGAGCATGGTCCTTTGGGTTGCTTTCACTCATGTAACTTAATAGGATGGCAAGTGGAGAGAGAGAGAGAGAAAGAGAGAGAGAGAGAGAGAGAGAGAGAGAGAAAGTAGGATTTATTATATGAATAATAAATTGGTAATCATAATGGTTTTATTAATATATTAAATGTTTAATATATTATTTGGAAATCATATTATTAATTAGTGATTATTCCAAAATTAATTTGATATTAATTTTGGGATTAAAGGAACTGATTAGTAATTAAGGGACTGGTTTTGCAAATCATTGATAATTGCAAAATTAGGCTAATGGACTCCATAAGGGAAGCCCTATATATTTCATCCATAGGCTCTAAGGAAGGAGTTCATGGGTTGCTTGTTGCCTAAGTAAGACATTAGGTTTCCACCTGAAAACCCTAGCAGCCACAAATATATAAGGAAACCTCTACTATGGATTTTTGGCCGATGCATGCTTCTTGGAGTTGCCCTGGATGAATTCCACCTCTCTCCCAAGTCATCTTGTTACATTGGGTGTTTGTGACTCCATTAGAGGTGAAACACTTAGAGAACTAGGCTTTTAGAAGTCAAGATCAAGAAGGATTATACTTGTTATTGCTACATAACAAGAAAGGTAAGCTTCTAGCCCTAGTTTATATGTCAATTCCGAATTGTGTATTCTAGTCCATAGGGTTATTGCTTTGGAGTTCATAGTTGTACGTTTAATAGAGGAAAACTTAGATCCAAAGCAATCAGAGTTGCATGTTCATCATAAAAATGTTGTTATGCTCAAAACCCATCAGTGGTATCAGAGCCTAGGTCGTTTTTCTATTGAATTGATGCAAGAGTGAACTACCAAAAGATCAAGAAATCGAAAATCTGTAATATCTGACTGCTGAATTCGATGAGTCCATGTATGGACTCGACAAGTTGCATGAACTCGACGAGTTGTCTGATGTGGTGCTGGACATTCAATTTTTTTGGCCAGATTTTGATTTGAATAATTACCATAACCCGTCTTTAATGCCTAAATTTGATTTTTATGATTGGTATGGAATATCCTTATCAAAATTGATGGATATGGTAAATATAAGATTATTTTGATTCAAATATTTAACCTAGTAATTTTGAAAAAGTTTTAAATTATTCCCCTTTGGTTTTATAGTTTAAATTTGAAATTAAAAGTTTTAGTTTTTGAAAATTTAAATAGTTAAACCATAGTATTTTGAAAAAGTTTCAAAATTTGCCGTCAAGTTTTGGAATTTAAAATTTGAATAAGAGGTTTTAATTTTGAAATATTAAATTCTAAAAAGCTAGTGCTTTGAAAAGTTCAAATTACAACCTTATGGATTATATTAAATTAATTTTGTGTTTAATTAAAAGATAGAATTAATAAATCCATAATAATATGGTTTAAGTTTAATCAAATTAAAAGTCTAATTTATTAATAGATTTAATCACTTAGTATTTTAAATATATAATATACACCCTTATACTATATAAAATTAAAGGTCTAATATATTATATATTTGTAGGTAAAAAGTCACTATTACCGTTAGTATGCCTCATTTACGAAGCTGATCTATAAGGGGTGTTTAAGGAAGCGGCTTGTAAAATAACCGCCATTGGGTATCCACTCTTACCCACGACACCCTTGACTAGTGGAGGGTCGTTAGTCGAACGGGTAGGATAGGACACAAATTTCCATTGTAAGTATAATAAAATACGATGTAACTAAACGCTTTTACAAATTCCCAAATCTTAGTTACTTTAGGAAAAATGTGAATTTGGTGCTAATCCATGAAATTGCACATTGCACCTTGTTGGTCGTTAGTGGAGCGTGTGTGGTTAACTGACACACTAATATATGACTAATGAAGGATGACAATGGGTAGCTCATAGATTATCATAGCACAATGGAGCGCGTGCGGTTAACCGGCACATTGATTAGGTGATAAACGTCTTCGAGAGTACCAAGTTAATTTGCATGTTTATTCACACCTTCTTTGTGATCCTCGATATCCCAGTCACCAACATGAATGGCATAATCGATATTAAACATGCCATTGAAAAGTTCAATGAATCTCAAAGAATCTAGGAATTTCAATTCATTTATAACCTAATGTTTATTTTCGTTTTTCATTATGGAAATTGGTAAATCGTCATTTACCTACCTTCAAATATTTTTGAATTCGATTACAACATTGTAACGCCCGTAGATCCGGGCTAGTCAATTTAGAGACGATAGGCGTCAAAAATGAATTTTTGATGAAAGATTATTTAGAATGAATAATCTTAAATAAGTTATAGTATATGTTACAAGGTTTCCGTGCATATAAAGAACTCCGAAATCCGAGTTACAACGAAGAAGTTATGACCTGTTGAAGTTTCGTGACAGAACTGGCACGACGCTGAATGACGTAAAAAGTGAATTTACGTTAGATTGATATTTAGCCTTAGCGATCTAAACGAAAGTCGTAGGTTTCGTTAAACCATGAGCGTGCATAAAAAGAAGATCCAAATCTGACTTCGTATGAGGAAGTTATGATTTTTCTAAGTTTCGACTTAGCGGTATGCAGCCCGAATACTCGATTTGAGATCGAGCAGTTTTTAGCCAAAACAATCTAAATGAGAATAGAAGATCTCGTTAATTGTAGTGAAACGATGAAAACATAGGCGAAAACGGACGTCGGATAAAGAAGTTATGATTTTATAACGGAGTTTTCCTATCCCGGCCTACTAAAAATAAATAATAAAAATAAGTTCAAAATTAGCCGACGGAGTCTAAACGAAAGTTGTAGAGCGTAGTCTCACCTACGCGGGGATATAGAGAACATCGAAAACGGAGTTCGTATGAAAAATATATGAATTTTTGAAGTTTATTAAATATTTTTGATATTTAATTTAAATATAAATTTGATATTATCCGGAAGGGGGGGGGGGGGGGGGAGGGGGCGGGTAGTCAGCGTTCTTATCCTCATTACACCCAGCATAATTCATGTTTCAGCCCCCTATAAAAGGGTGTCGAGGGCAACCGACTTTGCTCATTTCTTCCATCACTACTAGAAAAAAATGCCTTTTACGACGCGCAAAATACGACGCTCATTGATCTATGTTACGCAAAGGAGAGTGACATTAGAAAAATGTCACCTGTTCAAAAAATTTAAGGATAGAAGACACGCATTATTCCGCACCCTTAAATTAGTGTCTAAAACAAACACGGAGGGCACCTATAATAAAATGCGCGTCGTCTAAGGATGTCGCTTTATATTTTTTAATGGAACGCGTGTTCCATCCTTTAATAGTGGGGGAAAGGGGGAAATGAAATTCTGAAAAAATTAAAAACCCCGCCATGCTCTCCTCTACCTTCTTTCAATCATTCTTCTCTCTCTCTCTCTCTCTCTCAATCAAATACCAAAAATCGACTATTGTTGGAACTAGGGTTCCAGTTCTTAGTGAAATCGAAGGTTTTTTGGTCACCAGGCCATGAAATTGATCAAAGGGGTATAGTTTTTGGAACCATGACTATTGTTGGAACTAGGGTTTCAGTTCAAAAACCCTTCATCTACTTCCCTCGATCTTCAGTTCCTCAAGTACTTTCTCAACCTCTTAATCAATAGAAGAGTTGTATCACAACTACAAATTTAGAGTGATTTCCATATCAAGTAGAACAGTAGCTCCATTAAAGTCAAGGTCTCGAAACTCCATGGTCAATCACCATCAACATTCTACTTCTTTATTTGTTCCAGAGGTTTGTCTTCCTTTATTACGATTTTTATAACCTTTTTAATCAAACTCGATTAGCCCTCGATACCTAATGTTATCGTTTGCGTTGTTGCTTCTGCTCTGTTCTTCTTGAAACCTCCCCACACTCTCATGTCGAAACATAATTTATGATATCGAGTTGGAAATCAATAGAAATGGCTATGAAGGTCGGTTGGGTTGGATGATTCTATGGAGGACGAGAGAGATTTGGACATGGCAGATCGTAGGGCTACAAAGATTGAGCTTGATACCATGGAGGGTTTTGCATAGGGCTACAGAGAGATTGATCTTGGTTGATGGGCCAGATACTTCCTCCTTCACTGCATTTCTCTACTTATTCTTATCACCAGGAAGATCAGAAAACGAGTCTGAATATTCAGAATGGAACGACAACCAAGTGGTAACTAACTACAGAAATGACACATCATCCCCAAACATTTCAAAAGAAAACAATGGAAAGAAAGGTCTATTCTCTAAGGGAAAACAGTCACTCAGCAAGGCTCTTTCACAAGCTGCTAGGTTTAGTGGGTATCGATCTCATGCATCTGGGAAAGTAAACACTGAATTAAAGATTGATGACATGAAAGAAACAAGCTCTCAATTTGACACTAATGATGGGGTTCCTGTACAAAATGTGATTGCATCTTTTCCTTCTAATAAACTTCCAAAAATGTCAGAACCTTCACAACTTATGACAGAAATACACGTTCTGATCTTTATGTTGCACTCCCTGTTCTCAGTCAAGGAAAGAAATGGGTCTTACTATACAGGTAAAACTTCATCTTCTTCATATTTTCAGTTTCACATTATTCTTGAATCTTGATATATCATTATCTTTTTTATATGTTAGTACATGGAGGCATGGCATATCTCTTTCAACCTTATATAGAAGAAGCAATCTTTGCCCTGGTTAAGTCTACTGGTAATGTCTTGTCTTCAGTAACTATGCAAAATGTCAACTTTACCCTTTAACTGAAACTTGATTAAACATTTTCAGGTCGTTGGAGATCGTAAAGGTGCAGTGTTTGGTGGTTTAGTTGAGGCACCTTTGAAACCATCAACAAAGAAAAGATACCAGGTTTGTAATTGTTTAATTAAGTTCGTTTCTCTATATGTTGACAAAAGACTTTTCTACCCTTTTTCACTATGATGAGTAAATACTATACAGGGATCGAATGATACATTTGTGTTTACAAATACACCAGGGCGTCCTGTTATATATCGCCCCACAGGTACTGCATTTTCTTGATAATATATAAAAAAATCTTTTATAATTTTAATATTTATTTGGGATTTATTATGTTAATTGTGCATTTATTAGGGGTGAATCGGTATTTTACTCTTTGTTCAACTGAGTATTTAGCGCTTGGTGGGGGAAATCATTTTGCATTGTATCTCGATAGTGACTTGTAAGAGTGTTGCACTTGCATCATTCCTATTTTTCTTTTTGAGGGATAATATGGTAATTTGGCAATTTGCATATTTTTTTCCCCAGATTGAATGGGTCAAGTTTGGCCTCAGAAACTTATGGTAACTCTTGTTTGTCACACACCCAAGAATTTGAAGTGAAGGAAATTGAGGTGCTTTCTCTCACTTATTTTTGCAAAAATTACATTTTTGGTCCTCGAGTATGGCTGATTTTGTTCAATTTGGGTCCTACAAAATTCTCTTGCAAATTTGATCCTTATTTGAGGTTTTTGTAACGTTTTTACTCTTCGTTCCAAGTAAAATGAGTGGGGACTAAAATTGAAAAGATCAGCAATACTCTGAGACCAAAAATGGTCATCTTACTTAGAACAAGGACTGAAACTCTACAAGAAATTTCAAAGAACCAAAATTGTAAGAGAATTTTTGGGGACCAAAATTGAAAAAATGGTTCGGGACCAAAAATAGTCAAATAAGGACTAAAGTTTCAAGAGAAAACTTTTTGTGACCAAAATCAGGAAAATTAGAGATTCTTAGGGACCAAAAGTGTAATTTAATATAAATAGTTTGCATAAGTTGAGTTGATATGAATGTCAATGCGTGCAGCTGTGGGGGTTTGTATATGCTTCAGAGTATGAAGAGGCGATATCAATGTTGAGGACAGAAGCACCTGGGATATGTCGATGGTAGATTGACGATTATGCCCTTCATCTTGTATATATTTTAACATGGGTGTTCCATATCCATTGCTATGTTTGTTGAAACTTGGTTTGTTGGGTTTCAACGTAGATAACTTTTTGGATTTATGATATACTTATAAAAGATTGATAAAGCGAGGGGTTTGTGTTAACAAGTCAATGGGAATATATTTTCTGATTTTGTCAATCTTTTTAAAGAGCTACTCTTTCCACTTTTCATCCTTAACAGATAACACTTTTTATCTTTTTCTTGTTTTCTCTTTCAAGTGGTGTACCTTTTAACTTTTATGGATGACCTATATAATAGAATAACTACAATTAAACAAAGTAGCATCCACTTCTCAGGTTTATACTTCCCCTAATTCTGCCTGGTATAAAATGCCTAAGTCTACAAGGTGAGCTTTTTGGTTGGACATGCTTTTACATTGGTGTGGCTGCTGTTGCTTTTGGATGCTCTTATTATCACCTCAAACCAAATGACGGTCACCTTGTTTGGGATCGTTTGCCTGTAAGTTATATCATTCCTCATATTTAACAAATTTCAATATATAAATGATTAAATTCTCATGTTTTCTGTACTTTTTTGCTGATAGAAACCGTGAAGCTTCTGTTGGGCCACACATTATTAACCACTTATTTCTGTTTCCTCTTAAATCAAGGTAGTCTACGGGTATTTTTTTTATGTGAAGCTCGTCTTTTTTGCAATGATAGTCTATGGGTATTTTTTATGTGAAGTTCGTCTTTTTTTGACTTTTGACTTTTATATTTTTGCATTGTGTGGTTATGATTTGTTTCAGACATCAGGAATCTTCAAGCAAAATGAAGTGAATTCCAAAAGTAGTACAAAGATGGAATCACCTATTCCGATTCCAATAACCTCTTATGTTTGTCATTAGTTAAAATTTTCAGATATTAATATGAAGTGTTTTATAATTGGTTAATGTATAAAATGAGTTTGGTTTCAGGTTGATGCTAAGTTGAAGGCTGCAGTTGAGAAAGAGGTTGGTAGGATAAGAGGTTTGGTTGGATTAGCTTTTTTCACAACACAGAAGGTTAGGGACAAGTCTATATTTTTTTTTTCTTGATTAAGTCTTGTTTTTGTTAAGTAAACAAGAAACATAAACTAAAAGGTCTGTATTTTGTTTCTTGATTGGTTTGATGCAACAACTTCTTTACCTTTTGTCCATGTAGGATCCACCAGGAACAGGAAAACCACAAACAATTTTTGGGCTTCTTAGTGCCATATTACATACCAACTGAGTATCTAAGTCTCTTAACTTTGTAAGACATTGATTACTTGAGGGTATTTTTAGTAACATTGTAAGAGATTGATTACTTGAGGGTACTTATGGTATATAATGTTATATTCTTTTGTTAACATGGTCCTTAGTGCAATGAATTATCTTTATTGTTTATGGTATTTTATTTTGTATTATGAGACTTTTAATGTGTTATTTAATTTGAAAATTAGTAAATCTATCAAAAAAGTATTTTATATCTATTATGAGAAATTAAATGCAAATTTAATAAAAAATTAATAAATATATAATTTTTTTTAAACATTTAAATATACGATACGCAAAAATGTGTGTCATCTTCATTTATGACATGACCTTTCTTGACAGGGGCTTTCTTGATACGCATTGCGTGTCATTAACACGCGCGTCGTAAGGTTACGAAACGCGAATGCATGTCGTCTTCCTTTATGACAGGGCCTTCCTTGATACGCATTGCGTGTCGTAAACGCGCGTCGTAATTGCGCGTCGTAAATGAGCGTCGTAAATGCGCGTCGTCTCTCTTTATGACAGGGTCTTCCTTGACGCGCATTTGCGTGTCGTCTGAGCCTTTTACGACGCGCAATGAGCGTCGTAAAAGGCTGTTTTTCTAGTAGTGCATTTTTCTTGCGTTTTTGCATCGTTTTTCGTGCAAGAAATATTTCGAAGCCTCGGTATCATTACCGAGCGCCGAAGCAAGTCCTGAGGCCCCGAAGATCCCAATAAGTGAGATTCCCGAGCTGAAGCTCTGCCCGCGAGGAGCCCGTTTTTTGTGAAGATTTTCCAGATCTACCGAAGAATACTACTTCTACAAGTCGTAGTGCTGTCCGATCATCTTCTAATGAAGTGAGTGTGTGGTTACTTTCTTCTAACGCATAATTATGAAGTATTTTATACGAAATACGTGTTATGTGTATAACTTTGTTGTTATGTGTGTGAATGTATATTCACTTTCTTCTATCTCATAGATCTGATTTATTCTCTATGAAATACGTGTTATGCGATCATCTTCTAATCAAGTGAGTGTGTGGTTACTTTCTTCTAACGCATAATTATGAAGTATTTTATACGAAATACGTGTTATGTGTATAACTTTGTTGTTATGTGTGTGAATGTATATTCACTTTCTTCTATCTCATAGATCTGATTTATTCTCTATGAAATAGGTGTTATGTGGGTGTGCCTCATCTGTTATGTGGAATAGGTATTGAATGAGAATGCTACACAGGTTTTAAACTATGTATAAAAATATATATTTTTATCTACTAATATGTTGCGTATAACATGGGTAGATAGTTGATGTGTGATAAACAGATGAGAGGCCCCGATGTTGTTGTTGTTGATCTAGGTATTCAGCGGAGTATGGATTAGACCAAGAGGTTAGTTTTAGATCCATGAGTATGGATCAGGTAAAGAGATAAAACTCTCCGAGAGTATGGATTAAGACTAAGTTAATTATCCCTAGTTCGGGAGTATGGAGTGAGCACAATTATTGATCCGGGAGTATGGATCAGATCAGGATTAGGGTATAGTTAATTGTCCTTATTCCGGGAGTATGGATTGGGTACAATTATTCATCCGGGAGTATGGATTAGATCAGGAGGTTAGTTTTAGATCCGTAAGTATGGATCAGGTAGTTTTAGATCCGTGAGTATGGATCAGGTTAAAAGGTTAGTTTTAGATCCATGAGTATGGATTGGTGAAGAGGATAGTTTTAGATCCGTGAGTAGGGATTAGGTAAAGAGGAAAATTTTAGATACGAGAGTTTAGATCGTGTCGTTGTGAGGATCGATGGGGTGGGATAAGATTTGCCATTATATGGTGAAATTGTACAAGTTTGAATGTTTTATATTTATAAATATATGATATAACATTGTGGGATGAAAACCCTATATGCTCACCAGGCTCCCAAGCCTGAGCCACTCAGTTTTCTTTGTATCATAGGTATCGATACGAAGACATATTTCACAGAGAGATTTAAAGGAGATATAAATCATTAGTGTAATTAAATGTAAGTTCTGATGACGCTTATATGTCTGTATCGGAACATGACATCCCGAGGTTTTATTATTAAATGTAAATACATTCTCTTTGAGAAATGTTTTGATAAGTTATTATCATATCTTGTTTTGGGAACAAATTCCACAATCATTTTCTTTAAAAGATTACTCTGATTTTATAAAACAAAGCATAAACAAATCGGTCTTTTCTGGCCGTGAAAATGGGGATGTCACAGTTGGTATAAGAGCATTAGTTTAAGCGAACTAGGAATTTGTAGAAAATTTCTAGACTTCAACTTAGAATGCCAAGTAATGATTGTGAGGAGTGTATCTAAAATATGTTAGGTAGTACACCTAAATTGACACAAGCACTAGTTTATTTCAGGAATGATGCCTAAAAAGCTTTTATGTGCTAAATGTTTTGTGTGATAGCTATATTGATGCTATTATTTATTCGGATCTATGGTCTGTTGTCGACCGGATCTGGAAACCTTATGTGTGTAGGATTCTAAGCGTCTGACTACGATATTAGAACTAGCATGTAAACGTTTCGGAGTGATAAGGAGATTTATATGTTTATCGTAATTAAAGCTTTCTTATCTTAAAATTCTCGCCTGGTACACCGAATGTCTGCTTGGATGTACAAGAGGTCATGGTGAAGACTCGTAGAGAAATTGAGTAAATAGAGGGAATGAAGAAGGCTTATAATAGTGGATGACACCTATCAGAAGATATCGTAAGAGTGGTATCTTGCCTTTAGAGTATGTCTTATAAAATAAAAGTACGTTTAGAGGAGTACAGTACGTCTGAAGTACACCTTCGATTGGCAGGATGATGGAATGATTGGTGAAATTCTTAAAGTTGTCTCATCATCTGGTATTTCCATCACCAATCGAGTTGAAGTAGAGTTGATGATTGAAGATTGAGCAATGAAGAAGTCCTAGTAGAGTCTAGGGATATTGTTTATGATTACTTGGACACATTCGTATGTGTTAAATTGTTCTGTGATTTTCTTGTATGGTGACTTGGTCGACTGCGGGACAATACTTGGGACGAGTATGAGTAGGTGTGAAAGATAGTAGATGCATATACTACCGGAAGCACAGGACTCACACTTGGATCAGGGAAAGTCACAAGGTTACCAAGAAGCTAGTAATTGATTCCATTTTATTCCAGTATGCCATTACCATTGTTTCGGTAATGACTAGTAAGATGTTTCTTGTTTCGAACCTAGTGGTCATATTTAAATTTGAGTTCGACTACGAGGAGTATGTTACGTGGTCTAGAGGACCAAGTTAGATGTAACATGTAACCTAAGTCAGAAGGTTGAAGTTAATGCGATTGATAATGTCGCACTCGTTGTTAAAAGAAGTTTGCAGGTAGAAATGCTACATGCTGAAATGTGATTATATCACATTAGAATATGAAGAAAGGTATATTCTGCTCTGGTATTTAACTTTATTAAAGACCGAGTCTAAGCATCGCATCGTGTGATGAGAGGTCAATAGAGCACGACCCATCGATTTGTTACAATAGATAAATGAAAGTAATTATCCTGAGAAGAATAAGGAGTCCACAATAAGGAATTATTTCGTAACTTGAAGGTTACGATTGAAAGTACAACATAGTACGATAAGCAGATGCAAGATTGGGCATCTTCTGCGATCAAGAAAGCCATAGAGTTAAATACTCTTTCGAGGAAACATAGAAGTTACGGTTATTACCTATGATGAATAAATAACGTGTGGAATCATTATGCAAGTCCTATTTCGTTGATGATTCCGGGACGTAATCATCCTAAGGGGGAGATAATTGTAACGCCCGTAGATCCTAGTCAATTTAGAGATGATAGGCATCAAAAATGAATTTTTGATGAAAGATTATTTAGAATGAATAATCTTAACTAAGTTATAGTATATGTTACAAGGTTTCCGTGCAAATAAAGAACGCCGAAACCTGAGTTATAACAAAGAAGTTATGACCTGTCGAAGTTTCGCGACAGAACTGGCACGACGCCGAATGACGTAAAAACTGAATTTACGTTAGAGTGATATTTAGCCTTAGCGATCTAAACGAAAGTCATAGAGTTCATTAAACCATGAGCGTGCATAAAAAGAACATCCAAATCTGACTTCGTATGAGGAAGTTGTGATTTTTATAAGTTTCGACTTAGCGGTATGCAACCCAAATACTCGATTTGATATCGAGCGGTTTTTAGCCGAAACAATCTAAACGAGAATCGAAGATCTCGTTAATTGTAGTGAAACGATGAAAAGATAGGCGAAAACGGACGTCGGATAAAGAAGTTATGATTTTATAACAGAGTTTTCCTGTCCCGGCCTACTAAAAATAAATAATAAAAATAAATTCAAAATTAGCCGACGGAGTCTAAACGCAAGTTGTAGAGCGTAGTCTCACCTACGTAGGAATATAAAGAATGTTGAAAACGGAGTTCGTATGAGGAAGATATGAGTTTTTGAAGTTTATTAAATATTTTCGATATTTAATTTAAATATAAATTCGATATTATCTGGAAGGGGGGGGGAGTCAATGTTCTTATCCCCATTACGCCCAACCTAATTTAGAATTACACCCAACGTAATTCGTGTTTCATCCCCCTATAAAAGGGTGTCAAGGGCAACTGACTTCCTTGCTCATTTCTTCCATTTTTCTTGCGTTTTTGCCTCGTTTTTTCGTGCAAGAAATATCCTGAAGCCCAGATATCATTCCCAAGCCCCAAAGCAAGTGTCGAGGCCCCGAAGATCCTGAGAAGTGCGATTACCGAGCCGAAACTCTGTCCGTGAGGAGCCCGGTTTTTGTGAAGATATTCCAGATCTACCGAAGAATACTACTTCTACAAGTCGTAGTGCAGTCCGATCATCTTCTAATCAAGTGACTGTGTGGTTACTTTCTTCTAATGCATAATTATGAAGTATTTTATACGAAATACGTGTTATGTGTATAACTTTGTTGTTATGTGTGTGAATGTATATTCACTTTCTTCTATCTCATAGATCTGATTTATTCTCTATGAAATACGTGTTATGTGGGTGTGCCTCATCTGTTATATGGAATAGGTATTGAATGAGAATGCTATACAGGTTTTAAACTATGTATAAAATTATATATTTTTATCTACTAATATGTTGGGTAGGACATGGGTAGATAGTTGATGTGTGATAAATAGATGAGAGGCCCCGATGTTGTTGTTGATCTAGTTATTCAGCGGAGTATGGATTAGACCAAGAGGTTAGTTTTAGATCCGGGAGTATGGATCAGGTAAATAGATAAAACGTGTTATTAGTCCGGGAGAATGGATTAAGACTAAGTTAATTGTCCTTAGTCCGGGAGTATGGATTGGGCACAATTATTGATCTGGGAGTATGGATCAGATCAGGATTAGGGTATAGTTAATTGTCCTTATTCCGGGAGTATGGATTGGGTACAATTATTGATCTGGGAGTATGGATTAGATCAGGAGGTTAGTTTTAGATCCGTGAGTATGGATCAGGTAGTTTTAGATCCGTGAGTATGGATCAGGTGAAAAGGTAGTTTTAGATCCGTGAGTATGGATCAGGTAAAGAGGAAAATTTTAGATACGAGAGTTTAGATCGTGTCGTTGTGAGGATCGATGGGGGTGGGATAAGAGTTGCCTTTATATGGTGAAATTGTACAAGTTTGAATGTTCTATATTTATAAATATATGATATAACACTGTGGGATGAAAACCCTATATGCTCACCAGGCTCCCAAGCCTGAGCCACTCAGTTTTCTTTGTATCATAGGTATCCATACGAAGACATATTTCATAGAGAGATTTAAAGGAGATATAAATCATTAGTGTAATTGAATGTAAGTTCTGTTTATGCTTATATGTCTGTATCGGAACATGAGATCCCGATGTTTTATTATTAAATGAAAATACATTCTCTTTGAGAAATGTTTTGATAAGTTATTATCATATCTTGTTTTGGGAACAAATTCCGCAACCGCTTTCTTTAAAAGATTACTCTGATTTTATAAAACAAAGCATAAACAAATCGGTCTTTCCTGGCCGTGAAAATATGGATGTCACAAACATCCCTCATCCGAATTGTAGAATATTGTGTTGGGTCTTAGCCTTAATATTTCATTTGGGTGTTATATTAAGGATTGAATCAACTAACTTGAATTTCTCCCTTTTGTAGATGTCTAATTCTAACAACTATGTTCTTCCAGAATCTTTTGGAAAAAGCTTTCCATATGAAGATGATGTTCCACTATTGGATCATGGAAATGGAAATCATTTTTCCCTACTGGAAAAACAGCATTTTACGACGCTCATTACGCGTTGTAAAAGGCTCAGACGACGCACAAATGCGTGTCAAGGAAGGCCCTGTCCTAAAGAGAGACAACGTGCATTTACGACGCGCGTTTACGACACACAATGTGTTTCAAGGAAGGCCCTGTCATAAAGGAAGACGACACACATTCACGTGTCGTAACCTTACGACGCGCGTGTTAATGACACACAATGCGTATCATTAAAACCCCTGTCAAGAATGGCAATGTCATAAATGAAGATGACACACATTTTTGCGTATGGTAAATTTAAATATTTAAAAAAAAATATATTTATATATTTATTGATTTTTAAATTAATTTTGCATTTACTGTCTCATAATAGAAATAAAATACCATATAAAAAAATACAATCCATTGCATAAAATTTAATGTCATACAATTCTATTTCTTACAATATATAATGTTACAATAAACAAAATAAAGAAAGTAAATTGCTATTTTGAACATGTGAAGCATTATAACAACCTGCTCTGTGACAATTCCTTTGACCTGTCTATCAAGAATTGCACGTGACTTGATGCCTCTTTTAGATTGTGGTGCTTAGTCATCAACAGCCTCCTGACCCAAATAAAAATTATATAAAAAAATGGAAGTCAGAATAGATGACATCAGCGAGTGAGGTTTTATTATGTTATAAAAAAATTAAAGTTAGAAAAAATTGTAAGCATGGTGACATATTTAACATAAAATGTTAATTTAGTGACTTAATAGGCAATAAAATAGTTTTTAGCCAAATTAATGAAAATGAGGCATTTGGTTGCTATACTACCAGTCAAGTAATCCAAGATAAAAAGAGTTAACATCAATTTCGCCTAGCAGCCTTGGCAACCAGGTGAAATTGATCATTAAACATTCCTAGAGAATAGAAGTAGCTTTCTCAATTGCTTAGAGCGTGACCCTGATTCACCTTCAAGATTTGCATTGTCACATGTAAGGTCATCACCTGTGAAATTGATCATTAAACATTAGACATCGCTTGAATTCTAAACTAAACCATTAACAATTTAATATGATCCAAACTATCCATGAAATATCATGTGACTTGTGTTCAACCAAACCATTAATCAATCAATACATGACACTCTACAAGCACCACAAAATATAGAATTCAGGTGCATGTCGAGTGTCGACATTTAATTATTCATATGACTTGGAAAATAATTATAATAAAATTGTGCATGAAGTTTCCATATCCACACTCAGAAAGGAAAAAAAACAAAAAAATTATAACAAAATTATCTCCTCAAATGGGTAAAATTGAGTTACCAAATTTAGTAATCTCAACAAAAAAAAAAAAGCAAACCTGGACTTTTTGTACTAGTAGCATTGTCATGATTTAAAGAAAACGAAGTTGCAACACAAATTCTGGACCATTGCGTGTATTCAGATTTGTAATTGCTATCTCTCCACCTGGAATTTCTTCTAGATTGTCGCCATTAACCTACAAATACAATTCTCATTATATAGGTAAATATTATATGGTAATTAATAGTGCACAAGTCTGACAAACTTGAATTAATAACAAATGCAGTTCGCGATTTGGTAAAGTAGTTGCAACAAAAGAAAAAAGGAACCAAATAAAGTACAAGAAACAAAATGGAACCTGAAATTCGATTGGCATTATTTTTCTTCCTTTCTTGGACAATTCATCACACTATAAACAGGAATCGTGTTATTTTTGTAATCCAATAATACAAATTATATCAACCATGTGTTATGTATAAGCCAACAAACCTGGATATATGGAAAGTAGATATCATTCAATTTGCATTTGAGTTTCCTTATGTTTATATTTTGCTTCTTGGGCTCAGATACATCAATCTGTTCATTTATAATCAGATACGTTCAAACTGGGATCATATTCTTTGAGATGAGATGATAGTTACCTTTGTGAAACTACCACCTGGAGCTTACTAAAGTTCATCCTTCATAGGGACTCGAAGGCTACCATATGTCTAGATTGCAATGTAAAATAAGGAAACAAACATTGGATAATATATAACAAAACAGATAAATAGATAACAATAGCAAAAAAGAGTTTGATTACCCTCTATGTTCGCTTTGAACCGGGGCCAGAATTGATTATATACATTTGATGAAGTTGTTTTGGGATCTAGAAATGACTTTACAGTACTCCACAACAGTCTAAAACCAGGGCCAACATTGATTATATACATTTGATGAAGTGTCTGTTAACAAATATATAGTGCCAAAAAAGTTAATTAAAGATTATTGCTAAAATAAACTTCATTAATGAATCAAACTAATCTTACTTACTTTAGGATAATTGTCGCCATCAATTTTTTGTAGACGCTGAATGAGTTTATGGGCACCTTCAGTGAAGTTCTTGAGCCCCTAAAAATATTCAAAAATGAAAATAATATTATTGAAAGTTATTATGTAAAGTGTGAACAAAGGGGAAGAAGATTCTCTGTTGTAACTTGTTTCTTGGAGGAGATTCTCTGTTGCTAACTTGTCTCTTTTTAGACTCTCCACCTTGTTCTCTTAAACCAAAATGAAGACTTCAATGAGGATTCACATAACAGCCATTGATAGCAGCAAATCAGGAAGCACAATGGTCCAATCCCATTCAAGTTTCTTTGGACCTATCCGTAAGATAAGAATACAAAATTCTTGTCATGATGGAAAGATTAAAAGCTGGTAAGATTTAAAATGAAAATGATTATAAAAATAAAAGAAAATTTAAACCAACAGCCAATTAGAAGATGCATGGACCATTGTATTTGGCAGTAAGTAAGTAGCAACTGATAACCACAACATGTAACTTTTCAAAGAATTCAAACACATACGAAACCCCCTAAGCTTGAATTAGACTGGTAGATTTTAGTATCCTGTTACTCGATGCACCTATTGCTCTCAAATTTGACACCAACAAGTCACCTACAACAACAGGTTTCTCTCCACAAAGCCTGGATAGAACTTCAATTTCCTTATCTTGCACAGAAGCGGTCCCCTCAGCTAGAAAACACACAAGAGGTTGTAACCTTGAGATAACTTCAGCAAGGGCAGACCATGGGGAGTAAGTTGTGTTAACATTTTGCTTTGTTTGAGCCAATAAAGAAACTACTTCTAAAGCTTCGACTGCATCAGTCCCATCATTCATGGAATCAACAACAGCAAGAACCGCAAATTGGAACTGACAGACCAAATACTTCAGGGACACGCAACACGTGCATTGGCAAACATATGTGGTGGCATGTCTGCTCTTATCCTACATCTAGGAGAGCTTGCTCAGTCTACATCTATTGCTGATATTATAATCGGAGCACTTGCTTACACACTAATGATCTTTCAACCAAATCTTGAAGATGAACCAGTTGATGCAACGAAAATGTTGCACCTGGTTCTTGGTACATGTTCTTTTTATTAAATCTTTAAATGTTTTGCATTTTGGCCTTGGACTCGGTGAGTGGAAGAAACAACTCACCGAGTAGAAGCGGGAGAGGCGCAAAGTTTAAGTTATGGACTAGGCGAGTAGACCCTGTTTGGGCAAAAACCCTAATTCGAGGGTTTGCATCCTATTTAAACTCCTTAACTCGGCCTCGTTAGTCCCATTTGCTCCCAGAAGACCCCCATATAAAACACTAGCCGTTATTGAAGCAATCTAAGGCTTTTGGAGTGATTTTGGTGCTTTTGCGATCCAAGGAAGGAAGGAAAAGCTTGAAGGATCAAGAGGAGGCTAGAAGGATTCAATTTTGAGCACCATTTGCTGACTTCAGAAGGTATAAAGTCTATACCTTTCTTGCTCTTTTGATAGATCCCATTTTGTGGAGTTTTCGGGATTTTCTAAGCCATTTTGGTCACCAACCATGATTGCAAGCATGGTTTGAGGTTGATGTTTCAGATCTAGGTCCTTTGAGGGGTTACAAGGCAGAAAGGAGTGGCTTTTGCACTCAAGGAAGGCCCCATGCATTGTGAGAGCTTGTTTTAGGACCTTTTGAGCTTAAAGTCCCATGCAAGCACATAAAGGTTGTAACTTTATGTGCTAGATCGATTGTAGAAGCTGTTGGATTAATGTCTAAGTCCATAACTATATTTGGTAAGACTTGACCCGACCCGGCGTGGTCCATTTGGGTTGCATGGCATCATGCATTTGGATAGACTAAAATGAGAGAAATAACACTTAAGGTTTGTTAATATATTATAATTTCTAATATATTAATAAGGTTATTTAATTCTTATTGATCAAGAATTAATTTGGAATTAATTAAGTGATCAAAAGAAGACTAATTAAATATATGGGTTGATTGTGTAAATCATTCATTCTTATATATGTGGGCTTGTGATCCAAGATTCCTTATGTTGGACTAAGTCCATGGGGTGACCCATGGATACTCCATGGAGGTTTAAATCCATGTAGCATAAGGAATGGGTAAAATCATGAGTTACATGGTGTAACCCTAATAGCCACCATATAAAAGAATCCCATGGCTCAAGAAATCATGCACTATGTGTGAGTGTGAGGGCTAAACGATTTCAAGGAGTGTTCAAGTTTCTCTCAAGTTATTCCAAGTGTATTTGGTGTTGTGTGAACCATTGGAGGTGTCACACTTGGGGCACTAGGCACTCAAGCTTCATGAAGACTTTCTACATCAAAGAGGTATGTAATTCTAACTTGATATAGTCATATGAATCTTGTTATTATGCCAGTTAGGATGAATACCTTGGAAAGTTCATATTTGTATGTATAATAGAGAAAACATAGATCCAAGGTATTTAGGGTTGCATGTACACTTAGGAGTGTTAGAATGATCAAAACCCAACAGAAGCTTAGATCTACATTTTGATCAAGTGTTGTACATTAGAAAGCGAAGATTCAGTGAGTGGTTGTGACCAACTCGGCGAGTCTGTTCTTGGACTCGGCGAGTGCAAGGTTCTGTCCCATATCAGTTGAGGGTTATAAGGACCCAGTTGAGTGTGGAAAGGTTTTAAGGGAGTCCCAACGGGTTACCTAACGTTCTAGACTAAGCCATTGTTCTGGAAATTCATGGGACTCGGCGAGTGCATGAATAGACTCGGCGAGTCCACGACAATCTTGTTAAGGATGAAAATGGACTCGACGAGTTTTTCATACAACTCGGCGAGTCAAGGGCAGGACCTGAGTATCAGTTGATGATGAACTCGACGAGTTGTTCATACAACTCGGCGAGTTGGATGAGGATTCAGTCGATGTTCATTTAGAAGGAAAACTCGTCGAGTCATTGCCTAAATTGATGAGTAGAGATGGGTTTGAGGTCGAATGGAAGGATAGGAACTCGGTGAGTTGGCAAGCCAACTCGGTGAGTCAGGTCAACTAGAAGTTGACTTTGACTTTGATGTTGACATGGTCAGGGGGGGTTAAAAGGGTCATTTTACCCTAAGAGTAGATGTCAGTTTCTGACTAAGTGTTTTGTAGGAATTTTAGGCAGAGGATTTCCAGAGCAGCAACAATAGTAGTGTGAGGATTCTCGCATAGTTCAACAGCTACTACGAGGTGAGTTACCTTCTAGTATCGGTGGGTCTAAGGCCACAATGCCGTCCCACCAGTAGGAGACGTATGATAGATGATTGTCTTTGTGATATCATCTAGGTTTGCTACTACCTGATATGTTATATGCTAGCATGATATGCTGTATGTGATAGTAGTAGAGTTCGGTTGTTAGGACCGAAGGGTAGTCAGACACCCCAGATACGTCTGGCAGTATGTGATGATATGTTTGCATGCTGGCTTGTTATGTTTTATGCGATAGTGGTAGTAGGAGGGGATCAGTCCCCGAGTTCGGTTGTTAGGACCGAAGGGTAGTTCAGGCACCCCATATATGTCTCATAATTTGTTTATGTTATGTTATATGTGATAGTCATAGTAGGGGGTGAAATAGTCCCCGAGGTTCGGTTGTGAGGATTGAAGGGTAGTCAGTACCCTAGAATGGCTTGACATGGGTAGGTCAGCACCCCAGAATGGCTTGACACGGGAAGGACGGCACCCCAGAATGGCCGCACGGGTAGGTCGACACCCTAGAATGGCCATACCGGGTAGGTCAGGCACCCCAGAAATGCGTCATAGTATGTATGTGATATGATTGTATGGTATGTGCTACGATGGGGGAACTCACTAAGCTTCGTGCTTACAATTTTCAGTTTTGGTTTCAGGTACCTCTTTAGCGAAGGGGAAGGAGCTGGCGCGGTAGCGACACATCATACACACACACACATTGGTTTTCCACATTATGAGATGTTCTGGGATTGTACTCTGACATTATTATTATTTTAATGTTTTGGGTTTTCAGACACGAGATATGTTTTATGAAATGATATGATCGGATGATGTTTTACTACTAATGTTTAACAAACCACTTATTTTAAATGAAATGTTTGGGCATGGAAATTGGGTCGTTACCAAAACTAGAAAACATTTTAGTTGCACTTTTGAAAGCCCGGGTAAATAATTTGGTCCATGAACGTATACTTGAGGCAATCGGAGCAATAATTGCCTCTCAACAAGTCTTAATCAATCAGAAGCCAAGAAGGTGTTAATCGGGCTTATAACAATGGCATCATCAGATGTGCAACAGTATCTGATAACCTATATGAGAAGTTTATGCTGTGATGTAGTGGACATCTGGGAAGCCATTAGAAAGAGAGAGGGAATCCAGTTACTTATATCTTTTCTAGGTTTATCAAGTGAAGAACATCAAGAGTATGCTGTCTAGCTGCTTGCACTCCTGACAGACCAAATAGATGACAACAAGTGGGCAGTTACTGCTGCTGGTGGTATTACGCCATTTGTACATTTACTAGAAACTGGATCTGATAAAGCGAGGGAGGATGCAGCTTATGTTTAGTGGAACTTATGCTGCCACAGTGAAGATATCCGTGCATGTGTTGAAAGTGCTGAAGCTATTCGTGCTTTCCTATGGTTCTTGAAAACTGGTCGAACAAAGGGACAAGAAACCTCAGGGAAGGCACTAATAAAGCTTATACGCAAAGCAGATGCTACCACTATTAATCAGCTACTAGCTCTGCTTTGGGGGGACACCCCAAAATCAAAAGCCCACATAATTGAAGTACTAGGTCATGTGCTTACCATGGCATCGCATTATGACCTTGTTCAAAAGTATCAGATGCTTATAAAGGGTTGAGATCGCTTGTTCAGATTCTTAATTCTTCAAATGAGGAAGCACAGGAACATGCAACTTCTGTCTTGGCTGACCTCTTCAGCATTCGTCAAGATATATGTGATAGTCTTGCAACTAATGAGGTTGTGCATCCTTGCATGAAGCTTTTAACAGGCAACACTCAAATTATTTCCACTCAATCAGCTCGAGCCTTGGGTGCTATGTCCAAGAACAAAATGTCTTATATTGTAGAAGGGGATGTGAAGCCTCTGATCAAATTAGCCAAAACATCATCTTCCATTGATGCTGCAGAGACTGATGTATCTACATTAGCCAAAGTGAAGCGACTCCTCCTGCCAACTAAGCTTTCCAGTAGTACCAATGATGGCAAGAAAATTACCAAAACCGATGATTTCACCTAATCAAACATATTGTGTGTTTCTTTTCCATCCCCTTTCCCGTTTCCATGTGTCTATGTTCCTAGTTAACCCTAGTCGATTATTTCACCTAATCACACATCATCGATTGTTAGTTTCACAAAATATCGGAAGTTTGTTCCTTCGATCATAAATGAAATAGAGAGAAATTAAGCCGGAAAGAAAAAGAGATTTAGCAAGCTAGGGTTCTTATAGAAGAAGGAAAACATTGAGAAGTTAGAATCAAGAAAAACATACCTTAATAAGACATAGGGCTTGTAAATTTGAGCAATAGAAGCGGTGACCCTAAGGTCACCGGACCTAATGTTTCTGGCAAGGGCAGGCGAGGTGAGATTGCCGGAGAGGAGGGGCTCCATCGGCTGGGTTTCACTGGAAAGCGTTGGACGGTGGGGCGGGGCTAGATGGAGGTCAGAGGTGGAAGGCGCCAACACCAAGAGAAATGTCGGAGGTGGGAGAAGCTGTCGACGTTGAGAACTGAGAAGAAGAGAAAGGGTTTGTCGAAGTGAGAAGGAAAGAAAGGGAAGTTGAAGAGAGAACGAGCAATACAGGAGGGCGATTGGGGCAAGTTCTTGAAAAAAAGCCCTAGCTACTAGGGAAACTAAAGTGGAGGGAGAAAAAAAGGAAGGCGGGGATTTTAAGTTTTTGGGATTTCATTTTCCCTGGATGGAACGCGCACGTTCTATTACAATTTATAAAGCGATGGTCTTAGATGACACGCAGGTGCCCTCCGTGTTTATTTTTTTTATTTAGACACTAATTTTAGGGCGCACAAAAATGCACGTCTGAAATCCTTTAAATTTTGGAAGAGATGACATTATTTTTTGGACACTCACATTTACGTATCACAAATCAATGCGTGTCATGGTTCGCACGTCGTAAAAGGCTATTTTTCTAGTAGTGTTCACTTCCCCCACCTCCTCCAATAGTTCTCCCTGACCCACGTGTTCGTTGACTTGAAAAGTTCAAGGTCACTCAATCCGTATTGGCAAGAAAATACGAAGATGGAAAGTCTATATGTACTTACGTCTTGGAGATAAAGTTGCATATTGACAAGTTGGGAATGTTGGGTGTCGATGTATCAAGCTGGCTATTGACTTGGCTCTTCAATCAATTCCTGAGTCATATAGTTAGTTCATTAAAGATTACTATATGACAGACTTCGACGTGACCCTTATCAATCTTACATATTTGCTAATTGCTGTTGAATCAGCAATGATTTGGCACACTGGTATAGCAAATTTGAATGAATGTTCTAATTCCCAAACTTCCATGGACATTAACAATAGCGACATTAGAAGTCCAAAAAGGTTTTCTCTTCCCAATGGAAAGGGATCGGACGAAGTCAGACCGTTGGACCGGATGATAAAGAGAAAGGCTACGTATGAGATTGTCCCATCTACCGTTCCAAAAGAGTCAGTTTGTTTCTATTGACAAGAGAAGGGGATTGGATGCAAAGTTGCCATATTTAACTGAAAGATCACAAGGATGGAAAAGTCAAGATGTATGACTATGCTTCAGGTAAGTCCACTATCTAACTCTATTAAGTTCCTATTTGTAGATTCTTAATACATGATGTCATAATATTACATTTTGATATTTTGGTGGGATCGAAGAAAAGAAAGGAAGCTTAAAGGAAGAGTGAGCTGAGTTTGATCGCGAAGAGATGGATTTTGATCGCATGGTTCGATGATCGGATTTTTGAGCTACTGCGTAGGAGTCTTGATGGATTGCTTAGGAATATTTAGTAACATAGTTTTCATTTGTAATTAGGTTGTAAGGACAAGTTTTTTCTGCATTTTATAAATAAAGAAATTTTTTGATTTTATCTTATTTTATATCTCCTTGTAATGGCATTTGTGAAAATTTGATGTTTATATATTATTAGCAATATTATGAATGGATTTGTTTGGACAAAAACTTGGAATCATGCGACTTGCATTGTATGATGAATGAGAACCTTCATCTTTGGGAAATTCAAACTAATTCCTTGTTCACATGTAGATGTGAGTCAAGTGAAGGGCTAATAGATCTAGTACACATCGATATGAATTGGTTAAGTTCACCATAAAGAAGGATAAGACTATTCGTCATGATTCACTAGAAGTTTAGTAAATATGGTTATACTTAAAAGATTAAGTGTAATTTTGAATCATTGAAAAAGTTTCAATGTATAGCTGAACGGATAAGAAGAATCAATTAGGTAGAAATATAAAAGTTTCTCCAATCTGAAAGGAAAGGAGAGTACTTATGTATCGTTTTTTCTGATCATCTTAATGATTATGAAACCATATCACAATTGATCCTCTAAGGACACCTTGGTGAATTTGTGTGAGCAAGAAGAGGAATCGAAAATTGTTGAAATGGTTGAATCAAGAAGGTGAGTCATACATCATTCCAGAATGAAGTCTTAGAGTCATACTCGAAGATTGTGCCTTGAGTGATATGATGTTAAGAAGTTTTTTAACACTCATCAAATGTGGAGTAGAAATTGGTAAGTTGTGATGTATTGGATAAGACAGAGATCAACTAAGACCAATTGTGTGAAGTGTTTGTCTTTATAAGAACCCACACTGACTCTTGAATATTTGTTTGTCAAGGAACATTTCTTGACAAATGAATATTATATGTCAAGAAGTAAGTGGGAGTCTTAGTGATCTCGAATAGCTTCAAGAACTAATCAAGAATAAACATATTGTTTATCACTAGCACATGACTTGAGGTTTGTAACCTATCATGTTGACATATTCTTGTTTTTGTGCCCATTCCATTTGAGATTGACTATGAATGTGAGTTCTATGAGATCTCATTTGATTGCATAAGGCAAAACACTTTGATCAATGAAAGTACATTGACCTGTAAGGATTAGATGCTAAATAACTTGGAAGCAATGGTAGGCTGTTGTGCTAGTAGATGGCAAGAAATTAAGATTGAGCAAGTTCAGTCCATATAAGTTTGGATTTTTCATAAACCTTGGCTTATGATAGTAGTTGGAAATGAAAAATTCACATGGATAGGAATACATACACCATAAAATCTAAGTGGAAAAGGTTTCTCTTCTCTTTGTGAAAATGAGTGTGAGGAAACACTTTCACTAATTTGATTTTAAAGAGTTATCAATTTTGAAATTTGCATTCTCAAATTCAAGTATGATTACGACATCCCTCTTCATAGTTTGAATTGTGAGAAACAACAAAAAGTCTTAACATTTGGGACTTATTGTTGTAAGTTATAAAATAGTTTAGACACACATATAAGCTTTCTAATAAAAGGTGTATGAGCTTAGATAAAGGCTTATCGAAACATCTCGTATTAGAAATCTAAACTTTGGTATGAAAGTCAATAAGTATTGATTGTAGAAGTCCAGTTGATTTCTGGGTACATGTCAAAGCTAGTGGGAACATAATTTTTATGCTAGTAAGGATATAATTATCATGATAGTGGGAGCATGATTATTATGATTGCAAGTTAGCAATGCTATTTATATGAAACAAAATTTTAAATTGCAAAGTTCTAGAGTTGAAAAGTTGTTTCGCTATAGTAAGGGAGATGATACTTATACTTTATTTTGAATCTAAAAGTTTAGATTGAAGTATTAATCAAGCTTAGTCATGAGCATATATGATTACCATGATGAAATGTTTCAATATTGGAAATTCTGTATATAGAATTACTATGGCAAGAGAGTGGTAAAGTATCATGTAATTTTGTAAGACATTATGAATCGTATCCCATACACTTTAGGTATCAGATCGATTACATATGCTGTAATATTCGACTGTTCTGTTTATTTTTTGAAATGCCTAGGGCATTAAGAGGTTAAAAGGACCCGAACTGGATATGGCTAAAGTAGTTAAACATCTGTCAAGGACGATCTAATGTTCACTAAGGATTTCTCATTTGTGGGCAGTTGGAAGTATAGTAATGAATGGACCATATTGACATTATTCTGAATAGAGAAGATTCTATTTAGAATTCATAGTTATATGGAAAATATGGAAATGTTTCTATAATGGGAGTTGGATATTAAGAATCTATGTGTATGTTAGAAACTTTTATGCAAGAAGGATGTTCAAAGGAATGTACTTTGAATGTGAGACTTCATATCTATGGAGTGGTCATTGTAACAATATCCAATGGAACGATTTCTAATATCATTGGCAAAGTCTTCGCGACTTTCTTGCTATGACGTTAAAAAAAGTTCATTGCATAAAAGATTAGAATCTAACACATTCTAATATTGGAAATAATTTAGTGTTCTTACACTTACGATAAATACTTGGAATTGTGAAATGAGCATCATTAAAAATGTGTTCAATTGATCTATTTCACAAAGAAAAGAACATAGGAAAACATAGTGTGCATGCTTAGAGCATGGGATAACAATTGTTTTAACTCAAGTTATAAGTTGATTAGTCGAAAAAAATATACAATGAATAATGTGTAACTGATATGGTGATTAAATAATAAGTGTTTTATTTATACTCAAAAGTTTTGAGATGATATTGGATTTGATTATTTTTGTGTTTCACTTCGCATGTTTTACTTCCCGAATAACTAGGTTATTCAAACACCCACAGTCAATCATACTTTGGAAGTAAGTAATGAGGTAAGGCTACCATGAATCCGACTGTAGATTGTCTAAAGTGTTTAGACAAAGCAAAAGTTTGTCGTAGTATTCATGAGTACTCCTGAAATAAGATTTAAGTATCGGATCAAACCCACGCTCACGTGAATCACTTCATGGATTTTATCACGAGTGATTATGAGGTGATAATATCATATATTCTTGAAATGGAGACATATGAGTTGTAGTTTTCGAGTCTGTTGCAAATTGATAATAAGCATTAATAACTTGATGTTATAAAACGTATTGTTGTGTGTGATTTGATGAGTAAATTAAGCAAGCAAATGAGTCGAAGTTTATCTGTTTCTTTTACCCAATGTGGGATAAAAGCGATATCTGTGAGCGCCTTGATGATTGATTT